GGTCAAAATCATGAAAAATTGGCACGATCATTGGGAGTGACTCAACAAGCCATTTCAAAACGCCTCGAAGCCATGGGAATGATGCAGAAGCAAGGAAATTGGGTGCCGTACGAATTGAAGCCGAGAGATGTTGAACGGCGTTTTGCTTGTGAACAGCTGCTTGAAAGGCAAAGACGGAAGGGATTTCTGCATCGCATTGTGACTGGGGACGAAAAATGGGTTCATTACGATAACCCCAAGCGCAGAAAATCATCGGGAGTTCCCAACCATGCTTTCACGTCGACGGCCAAACCGAATATTCACGGTTTCAAAGTCATGCTCTATATTTGGTGGGACCAGCTCGGCGTAGTGTATTATGAGCTGTTAAAACTGACTGAAACAATCACAGGCGATCGGTATTGAACGCAATTAATGCGTTTGAGTCAAGCATTGAAAAACAAACGGCCGCAATACAACGAGAGACACGATAAAGTGATTTTGCAGCATGACAATGCTCGACCGCACCCGCCGTATTCTCCAGACGTTGCTCCCTCTGACTATCACTTGTTTCGATCAATGGCACACGGCCTGGCTGACCAGCACTTCCGGTCGTATGAAGAAGTAAAAAATTGGGTCGATTCGTGGATCGCCTCAAAAGATGACCAGTTTTTTCGACGCGGGATTCGTACGCTGCCCGAAAGATGGGAGAAAGTAATGGCCAGCGATGGACAATACTTTGAATCATAAATGTATAACCAGTTTTTTACAATAAAACCTCGAATTTCGGAAAAAAACGGCGCAAAGTTGTACACCTAATATATTTTTAATAAAGATAATAATATGAAAGTATCTTGCTATTCGAAATTGATGAACTCTTAAATAACACAAAATATCCCAGTCATATTAGAAGTATTCTAAACGCCTGAAAAGTGCCCAGGACGTCGTAAGCATATTTCAGGGAGTCCTTGGAACATATTGTGCTATCTATGCTATTACGATTTATTCACTCTTATTTCTATAAACAATTCAATGAGAAGGATTATTACTGCAACATTTCTGATAATTATCATTAATCATAAAGTGTGCCAGTTGATTATAAAAATGATCCATAGTACAAGTCTTACCGTCTCGTGATCACTGTCCTTATTTATATTAATGCATCATATTTTACAAAGAAACGCATAAGGAAATAGAATCTGATAAATAACTCGTTATCTCGACATGAAAACTATTATATAATATAGAAGTTTTAAAAGAAAACAAAAGACAAAAATTTCAGACAAAAGTTGTAGGATTTCGCGGAGAAGGACGGGTAATAATATTCATTTGACCTTACAATAATTCTGGAAAACCTCAACTTTAATTTTTCAATAATAACTTTAATTTTTAAGTAGAATGACAAATTATTATTTTTTTTAATTAATTCCTCTTGTCATTCTGCATATAAAAGACTGCGATAAAATCATCGGAGAAAGTCGTGTGGGTGTATAATATTATTATTTATTATTTTACAGCTAATGTAATAAATAATGTAATAAATATCGGATGTTGAATATAGATAACAAGCATAGTGTGTATAAATTAAAGTGTGTATTTAAATTAAAGAAACGTACCTCAAAAACGACGATGAAAGCTAGTCTAGCAGCTAGCACATGCCAAAACATGATAGTATAATCATATTTATTTGGTGAGTTTGGTGGCTCTCTGTAATCCGAATAGCGGCAAATATCGACGGAAAATTGATCCAGCGAAGGCATTGGTTGTGTGCCATTTTTCAAATCACTAGTGTTGAATTTCGATAAAGAATGCTCCAGAAAACCTTCTAAGGAGTAATTATCAGAAACCGTTATACGATAAACTAGCCTTGGTATGAAGTTTGAAGTGAAAGCTATGATGAATGCCTAAAAAAGAAAATAGATTTTATTTAACAAAAACATACAATAATTAGTGAACAATGGCCAATTATAAATTATGGATTTAAAAATAATGTTTCAGCAACTGATCAGCAACTGATTTCGAGGCGGAGTAACGTATACGTGTCGCTTGTTACACCGCCTCGAAATCACCTGTTTACTCATCATTGCTAAGAGGTAAGCCATTTCTTTTACACACAAAGCCTGTCCTACCGCTTCTCGTGAGCTCATTCGTTTATACATTTTAATTAATTACGGAATAAATATTGAAAAAATTTCAAAATGGTATATAACTTTTATGATTATTTTGACTCGCTCTACCCGCATACGGTGATTGCTCGATCAGTTACCAGACACTCTGTATAAATATATATACAGGGTGGACCATTTTAATCTATCCAGTTGAATATGTCGAAAACTAAGCACGGGAGAGAAAAATTTTTCAGACAAAAGTTGTTTGATTTCGATAGGACCATAAGATGGTACCATTGCTTTGACCTTGAAGAATTATTTGAAAGTCACATGAAAGTCACCTCAATTTTTTTAAACGGCATCCCCTATTTTTTATTACATATTCTTGTAGCTGACCTCGAGAGCTTTCCAAAACATTCTAATGAAATGTTTCTTCATTGAGTACTTTTCAAGTTGCAATATGAAAAAATTCAAAATATCTCGTAAAGTATTGATATAGCTTCTGGAATGGAGCCGTGTCTTGAATTAGCAATATGCCGACGTTTCGCAAACATTGCAGTTTGCATCATCAGGGCTGAGAACTCTGATACTGAGCTCCCTTGGGTAAAGGTAGTCCTTATATGCCCCCCTCCCCCCCCTTTGGGTAGATGGTGTTTAGGGAGTAGGGGACGAGGCTTGAATCCAGCCAATCAGCGTATTTTAATTGATCAGCTGGTCAATTAAAAAACCGGGAGGGCAGTATGCCAAATAGAGTTTACTTGCATACCTTTGTCTCGGTTGAGGTTGTTGGGATG